CAGACAGAATCTTAGATAGATTAGATAGATAGATAGATAGATAGATAGATAGATAGATAGATAGATAGATAGAGATAGATAGATAGATAGATGATAGATAGATAGATAGATAGATTAGATTGGATACAGCCAGATAGATATAGATTAGATAGCTAGATAGATATGGATTAATGGATGGATAGATAGATACAGTAGATAAATATAGATGGATAAATAGACAGACAGACAGACAGAATCTTACCACACACGAGTACCAAATATTAACTGACAATTTTAGGCAGGACGTCTATTCCGAGAGAGAGGAAAACAGCAATAGATTGGTGACACTTTTTCAGTTTTGTGTGTGATTTCAGTCACATTTTCACTCCTGACCTGTGAGTAAACTTCATAATTCTGGAGACAATTAGCCCAAAATTATCCAAAGATTCCCCAAAGTTTAGCATCCTCCAAATGATTATCCCTGAAAAATACCATTCGTCAGAGGTTTTCATTGAGTTCCTCTGGTGCATTACTAAATTAGCAAAAAAACACAGATTAATGACCAGAGAGTGCCAGAGATCAGAGTACATTCCTTCATGTCTCTGCAAATTACTAAGATTAGATCTTAGTAGAATCATCCTTTGGAGAATCATCCAAAGACCTTGTTTTAAATGGCATGGTTGGTCTAGTGAACAGAAGGACCAGGGGAGACATGATAGCAGTCTTCCAATATTTGAGGGTCTGCCACAGAGAGGAGGGGGTTCAAGCTATTCTCAAAGCACCTGAAGGCCAGACAAGGAATAATGCGTGGAAACCGAACAAGAAGAGTTTCAACTTGGAAATAAGGAGAAATTTTCTGCCGATAAGAGCAATCAACCCATGGAACAGAAGTTGCCTTCGGAAGTTGTAGGAACTTCATCACTGGAGGCTTTCAAGAAGAGACTGGACTGCCATGGGTCAGAAATGGGGTAGGGTCTCCTGCTTGGGCAGGGGGTGATTTGCACTAGATGACCTACAAGGTTCCTTCCAACTCCGTTAATCCAAATCTATCTAAGATGATCAAAGGCCTGGAGCTAAAACATACGATGGATGGTTGCAGGAACTGGGCCTGGCTAGTCTAGGGAAGAGAAGGACCAGGCTAGGCAGGATAGCAGTCTTCCAATATTTGAGGGGTTGCCACAGAGAGGAGGGGGTCAAGCTATTCTCCAAAGCACCCGAAGGCCAGAGAAGGAATAATGGATGGAAACTAATCAAGGGGAGATTCAAACTGGAAATAAGGAGACATTTTCTGACAGGGAGAACAATTAATCAGTGAAATAGAAGTTGCCTTCAGAAGTTGTGGGAGCTTCAACATTGGAGGCTTTCAAGAAGAGACTTGACTGCCATCTGTCCGAAATGGAGTAGGGTCTCCTGCTTAGGCGGGAGGGGGGGTTGGACTGGATGACCTACAAGATCCCTTCCAACTCTGTAAATCTTTTAAGATGTCCAGTTTGAAGTTGGGTGGACCACCTAGAGCGGAAAATATTTCTCGTTTCATATTCTTCTTTCGCCGCAGCTCAAGTCACGTGACGAGGAAAACAAGTTGGATCAAGAGGTTTTTGTTTGTGTTACCACGAAGAGTCCTTTATTCACACAATCCCGACAAAGCCTATTTTTCACGCTCCCTGCCACAACATAATACAGATTCATATTTCCAGCCAGTGGTTATATAACCATCCAGGTGTTGTTTCCCATTTAACAATAGCAAGAGGTAGAATAAGGAAGCCATCAGAAGCACAAACAAAAGGAGGCCAGGAGAATTATTTTATATCTTGTGGTCACACCAACAAAATGGGTTTATAACTCGCTATTGTTTCTCCGTAATTGTCACCGAGGCGAAAAAGAAATATGACCACTCTTAAATCATTACAGGCAGTCCTCGACTTACGACCACGATTACCCAAAACTTCCATGGCTATGTGAAATGGTTGTTAAGTGAGATTTGCCCCATACTACGACCTTTCTTGCCACAGTTGTTAAGTGAATCATTGCAGTTGTCAAATTAGGAAATTAGATAATATTGATATATGATATAAATAGGTAAGGTAGGTAGATAGACAGAGACAGACAGATCTGGTAGGTAGGTAAGCCAGGTGGGAATTTAAAAGGGTGTATTAGAAAGTGACACCCTCTGCCCAGGTCTAACATCTGGACAGGGTCTCCCATCCCCTGTCCTTGTGGCTTGTTGCAAAAAACAGCTTCCTCCAGGAAAAGCCTATCTTTGCTCAGCAGACTCCTTGGGCGACGGGTGCAAAAGGATTTAAGAGCATCTTTGCTTATCCAGCCCATCCCATTGTGGTTTCTCTGGCCGGTCTGTGCTTTTCTTTTCTTTTCTTTTGTTCTTTTCTGTCCTTTTCTATTTGGTTCTTTTCTGTCCTTTTCTTTTGTTCTTTTCCATTCTGTTCCATTCTGTTCTTTTCTATTCTTTTCTTTTGTTCTGTTCCATTCTATTCTTTTCTTTCTTTTTCTATTTTGTTCTTTTCTGTTCTTTTCTCTTTTTCTGTTTTGTTCTTTTCTGTTCTGTTCTATTCTTTCTTTTTCTGTTTTGTTCTTTTCTATTCTTTTCTTTTGTTCTGTTCCATTCTATTCTTTTCTTTCTT